TTTTCTGAGCCAGTTGTGGTGCATAGATAGGGATAGAGGAGAACGACGAGAGCATCATCATAGCGAGTCGACCGCCCAGAGCCAGTTTGTGCTTCGCAGATGGCGATAAACATTAGTTTTGAATGCTTGCATTCCCTTGCTGTGGGGAGGCTGGGACAGAAGAGCGGCGGGGAGGGAGTTCCAGTCACTAATACTGCAGTGTGGGAACGAGCGCTTTAATGCCAGCGGGACAGATGCAAGCAGCTGGTGTTGGAGCTGGTGGTCATGGCCAATGACGCTACCATGCTCGCTGCGAGTTCTGGGGCTGGATGAGGGGAAATAGCGCGGTGGCAAAACAGAGAGCAGCTGCGGAGGGCCAGGCAGGTAATGCAGCTTGTATAGGCAGGCAAGCGAGGCAACAGTACGACGGATGGCCAGGCTAGGTAATAGTGCACCTGGACCGATGATTCGCAGAGCACAGCGTTGGATATGATCCAGGCGTTGCAGGTAGCTGGGCGGAGCACCTATCCAGATGAGGGGGGCATACTCCATAACTGGTCGAACAAATGCCTTGTATACTGTGGTGCGGCCGGCTGGAGAGAGAATGTGCGCTGCACGGCGCAGGAAGCCCAGGCGTTGTTTGGCTCGAGTGGCAACCTTCCGGAGATGAGTGCTGAATGACAGCTTCGAGTCAAAGGTCACTCCAAGTAAAGAGAGAGCCTTCTCCTCAAGGACAGGAGTGCCGCCGAAGACAATGCGAGGCAAATTGATGGGGGTTCTGCGGAGAGTGGCGGTCATGGCTTGGGACTTCGACGGTTCGAAGGAGATGCGCCATCTGCGGCCCCACTGATGCAAGCGATCAACAGAAGTCTGGAGGCTCAATGCTGCGTCGGCTGGGGAGGTGTCGAGGGATATCAGGCTGTACAAGGTAGTATCGTCGGCGTACGCCTCTAGGTGGGCTCCGGGTGACAGGGTCTCTGAGGCGTCGTTCACGTAAATCAGGAAGAGTGTAGGGCCGAGTATGCTCCCTTGGGGAACTCCTGCTGATATGGTATACAGCGATGAGGTTTGGCCGCCCACCAAGCATTGAATGGACCGTCCACCTAGGTAGGAAGAGAGCCAGGTATGCAGGGGGCCGCCAATGCCAAGATGGCGGACTTTGTGGAGGAGGCCAGCATGGGACACACGGTCGAATGCTCCGGCAATATCCACGGCTAGAATACGTGCTGCACCGCCTCGGCCGACGGCTGTGATCCAGGCGTGGTGTAGAGCCTGTAGCGCATCTGAGGTCCCGAGGCGGCGACGAAACCCGAACTGGTGGGGTGTCAGGAGTTTGTAACGCTCAAGGTGATTCATGAGCTGACGATTGATAACGCTCTCCATGATCTTAGAGATTATGCTCAGCAGTGAAACTGGACGATAATTCCTTAGGGCGGATCGTGAAGATCGCTTGTGGATTGGAACCACGCTGGCAGTCTTCCACATTTGTGGCTGGACTCCGTGCTGGAAGCAAAGAGCAAAGAGCTGACACAGTGGCTTGGCAAGTTCTCTGGCGCATTCCTTCAAGACACGAGCGGAAATACCGTCGGGTCCAGTCGCCTTTGAGGCATCCAGGCGAGCTAAAAGCCGGTGGACTGCATCCGGGCGAAAGTGGACTGTCGTTAGTGCAGGTGCATCAGCGAATGCCGTGTCCGGTAAGTCCATCGTGGTAAGGTCGCGGCCTTGCACACTGCACTTGCGGGAAAAGAAACGTGCGAAAGCCTCCGATTTCTCATAGCTTGTGGCCCTCTCGCAACCTTCACTATCAACCAGCAGGGGAATGTCAGTGTTCCGACCCTCGCCACAAGCGCACTTTAGCTTCGTCCACCATTCCTTCTCCTTCAGGGACCCATTCGACAAGCTATGTCTGAGGCTGTTCTCTTTGGAAACTCTAGATCTAGCAAGGACTGCGATAGCATTGTTTACAGAACGGGTAAACTCATGTTTCAGTGCAAAATCGTGAGGGTGCTTCCTCCAAGTGCGCCAGCGTTTGTCCTTCTCCTTCATGGCGGCTGCACACTCAGGTGTCCACCATTTCGGATCTGTTGACTTCACTGTCAGTGTCTTGGACGGAACGAACTGGGAAACGGCGTTCATGATTGTGGCAGTAACGTGCTCACACGAAGTTTCTGGGTTGGCAGTAATGACGGTTGACCAATCAACCTGGCGGAAAAAGGATCGGAGGCGGTTCCAGTCTGCCTTTTCATAGCGCCAGACAGTTCGTTGCACCGCCGCTTCATGGGTAGGAAGAACACCTGTGAAGTCCGAAAGAATTACAGCGTGGTCAGATCGACCAATAGGGGACATTATCTGCGTGGTCACTGGAGAGTTGAACGTGGACATCACCAGGTCGAGTGTGTTATCCCCGCGAGTAGGACTCTGAACGTGCTGCGTGAGAAAGTGGGCTGTGCATGTGTCTTCGAGGGCTTCCCCCGCAGGTGTGGTCTTCGAGCTATGGAGCCAATTGCGGTTATGCACGTTAAAATCACCGGCGAGTATGAGGTTGGCACCAAGTGCACGAGCAGAGGGAAGGATGTCATCGAGATGGTTAATGAGCGTAAGGTCACTGGGCCCCGTCGAACCTGGCCTGTAAGCAGCGCCCAAGACTATCTTTTGTCCAGGGGACAATTGAATGGATAGCCAAATGAGTTCGTGATGTGGAGAAAATAACTCATCAATTACCATGGCTGGGAGTGTAGATCTGATCCATACGGCCACTCCGCCACCGCGTGCTGTTCGATCCAGCCGGAAGGTGGTGTAGCCAGGGAATGTGGAGTCGGATGGTGGAACGGTTTCAGAGGAAAACTTTGTTTCCGTCACTACTGCTATGTCGGGATTATGTTGGTGCAGTGTGTGCTGGAACTCAGCTAGCTTGTTTCCTAAGCTAAATGCATTGGTGCAAAGGAGTCTGAGTGAACATTTAACGGTATTGTGATGAATGACAGAACTAGGCATGGGTGTAAAAATGAAAGGTAAATGTGTATTAAAGCGGTAAGTTTCTGAAGTGACTTACTACAGGACTTGTTGGCCACTCTCAGGAGATTTTCGTTTCCGTTTTTTCCGTTGCTTGGATCCAGTGGTGGTGGCACTCTGGTCCCGATCAGGTGTGACGCTATGGCGTGAACGCTTGGATCGGTTGACTTCCCACCCGCCAGAATCAGGATCATCGTCGCTGTGGCCTCCCAGCTGTGGGCCTAGAGCTGTACATGCATCGCTGTCTGCCTTCTTGGCCTCTCTGTCGGAGTCGCAGGGCAAGTTAGACAGCTGCTGGTTTTCTGGCTTGGATAAGCTTTCGTTGTCGACCAATGATTCAATGATTCAGTATCAGCAGAAAGAGGCAGCTCTTCAGACTCAGAGGAGCTGGAGTCGCTCTTGTCAGCTGCTGGGAGATCCTGCTTAGACTTGGATGTTGGGCATTGTGATTGGGCTTTACTTTGCTGCTCTGTCTGGGGTGGGTTTGCAACCACATCAGACAGGAGTCGACGTGTGCGTTCAGTGTCTGTACATGTAGGTGACGTTGAGTGCCGTGACTGCTGTGTACTACCGGTACTGGCAGTGGTACTGCGGGCCTCAGGGCAGTCCTTGGCAAGGTGCTCTGGCTTGCTGCAAATCCGACACGTGGGCTTTTGGCCACTATAATGTACGCGGAAAGTGCCTTTCCCGTCTCTAGATTTCACGTACGAAGGTACGGCTTTATTCGACCCCAATACAAAGGTTGCAAAACGGACTCCGGTTGCAATAACAACGTTGTCCCGTACCTTAAGTTTACCGTGGCGGATGGCGCCCTGCACGGTACCGTATGGAGCAAGTGCGGCTGTAATGGCGCCATCCGATACCCACACAGGAACATCGTGAATGTGCAACTGAACATGAGTGTTTTCTGTCAAGGATTTTGGAAGGATATGTTGTCCATTGATATGGAAACCATTCTTCACGACTAACTGGGCAAGCTGGATATCTGTGAACGTTAATCTGCATTGGCCTACCGAACTGACCTGGATAGATAGGATGAGCTCAGCTCCTATTCCGTGTTGCTCGAGGCAGCTCACGTACTCGGCGAGTTTCAAATCCTTTGGAGCTGGAAATATCACAGTTCGGGCCATCAGGTCCCTGGCGCTTACTTTCCGCCATGGGTCGACTTCAGCTGGTTCCCGAGATGTATCAGTGGTCTCCATGATCCCGGAACGGGCATATGAGGGGCTAAAACGCCCAACCACGAGATTTTTTTCAGAGCTAAAAAAAGCTTTACCACACGTCACTGAGACAAAAAACCTACTTTTGTTAAAAAACATTATTGAAGATGGTGTTGAGCGGTCTCTGCTGGGATGAACGGCTACACCTTAGCTCAGTGGTTAGAGCATCGCTGGCTATAAGCGAAGGTCCCTGGTTCGAATCCTGGTGGTGAAAGTCGATTTTTTCTTCAGACTTTTCCCGTTTGTGTCTTTCCCTCAAACCATTGGAAAACTTATTTTTTGTTGATATGACATTAGCCTTCATGCGATCGGTCCGGCCATGGCGCCAGTATCCATGGTAACTCTGTCATAGCCTGTGCTCCGCTGAAGAGACCTAACAAGGTCGAAACAGCTAGCTGTCCATGTCCGGAGTCGTAGGAGACATGGAGGTACATGTAGTACTAGTACTCTACTAGGTAGTACTAGTACTACCTAGTAGTACCAGACACAATGCATGTCATGCAGATTCTGCGTGCATCTTCCACACATACCGGTACATGCACGTGTCGTTGTAGAGTCTACTGCATGACACGACGAGATGATCCGATTCGCTCCACGCAGAGAGAGGCCTCGGCTCGAGGTCATGTGCCAGCCACGGATAGACACATAGTACATCAACCTGTCAGCCTGCAATGAATAATGTCAAGCCTTCTTCATTGTTTTTTTTGCCTGTATCACTGGATGCCTTTACGGGCCGCCCTCCCTCACCATGCTCACCGGACGTAAAGAAGAAAATCCAAACATAAAACAACCTGAAGGGTAAGCATTTGAAGCCTCTGCCAGATTTTAATATTCTGGAAAAAGTCCAGTAGAGACTAGAGCCTAGAGGCGGTGTTGGTCAGTAACGGAAGCACGTGTGTTGACCTATTGACCTCGCTCCAAGCTGGTCATCTGAGTTCCACGAAGGCCTTACTCCCCTTACCAGCCTTAGGCCGTAATGCAGGGCCTCGTTTGTAGATAGCCACGTTCTTTCATAATTTTCTTCCCAGGTCGCCCGGCCTTGTCGACAATCGGGTTTGTGGTGGTGCTTGCTCGACCAAAGGATATCAATGGCTATCTGTTGCCACAGGTGTCAGTGCAGTGAGTTAGAGACTCGGGACCGGTGCGCCTAACACTGTCGTGTTTGGATAGCGATCATGGTACATCTACCCGGCTGCAAGCAGCCCATTAGACTTGTCGTCTGCGGATTTCTTGTGCTGTTCACGACAATTTCTAGAGGTAAGGATGACTGTTGCAATGTAAGAACAAGTGCGTACTGTAGGCATGTTAGGAGCGACACCACTGGCCCCTCGGAACTACAGCAGTGCACGTTTGAAGATTTACTAGCGAACTTCTACGGTGCACAGAGCAAGGCCAAAGCACTGCATTGCGATCGTAGATCATACCGAGCTGAGCTATCAGTGGGTTCAGAAAGGTTCCTGAATGACTGAATAAGAGACCGGCATACGCGGTGTAACAAAATATCCACCAAGCCATTCAATAATTATTATGACTGTTTAGTTCACTTTAGGATCCATGCATGCTATATGTATGTCAAAACAGTTGTTTGAACGATCAGTATCACCATCTGGGAGTTTGGAGTCTTGCTGCTGCCATGGTTGATGTGGTCGATTGGAGAGGGTGTGCACTGTGCAGTGGACGTGGGAGTGTGACGAAGTCTCACATCTCCCAGTACAATTATCTCACGTGATATCCGTGTACAATTTCAAGAATTTATTGGCAAAGTAACATGACTCTCTTCACATTTTAGTTTTGCTCTCAGTATGTAGTCTTCATTTCAGAGAGACATTGACAATGCAGGAGAATGATCCAGTCCTTGCCTTTCCTTCCCATATCTCCGCCACATTCCGCTTCACCATGACTAGACATTGAAAAGCCATTGAACACTGACATAATGATGCACACACACACACACACACACACACACACACACACACACACACACACACACACACACACACACACACACACACACACACACACACACACACACACACACACACACACACACACACACACACACACACACACACACACACACACACACACACACACACACACACACACACACACACACACACACACACACACACACACACACACACACACACACACACACACACACACACACACACACACACACACACACACACACACACACACACACACACACACACACACACACACACACACACACACACACACACACACACACACACACACACACACACACACACACACACACACACACACACACACACACACACACACACACACACACACACACACACACACACACACACACACACACACACACACACACACACACACACACACACACACACACACACACACACACACACACACACACACACACACACACACACACACACACACACACACACACACACACACACACACACACACACACACACACACACACACACACACACACACACACACACACACACACACACACACACACACACACACACACACACACACACACACACACACACACACACACACACACACACACACACACACACACACACACACACACACACACACACACACACACACACACACACACACACACACACACACACACACACACACACACACACACACACACACACACACACACACACACACACACACACACACACACACACACACACACACACACACACACACACACACACACACACACACACACACACACACACACACACACACACACACACACACACACACACACACACACACACACACACACACACACACACACACACACACACACACACACACACACACACACACACACACACACACACACACACACACACACACACACACACACACACACACACACACACACACACACACACACACACACACACACACACACACACACACACACACACACACACACACACACACACACACACACACACACACACACACACACACACACACACACACACACACACACACACACACACACACACACACACACACACACACACACACACACACACACACACACACACACACACACACACACACACACACACACACACACACACACCTTTGACCTTTGACGCCCATCGCCGGAGGCGATGATAGCAATGCTACGGCAGAAGCCATAGCAACTTGTGCTGGGATTACACCATTCAACAGCTTGCAAGGCTGAAGAATTGACCGTCACTATTCAGCCTGGTCTACACCATACAGCTATTTGGAGTGACATTTTCTGGCCAGTGAATCCCTTTTTTGGTCTTTTTCATTTTTTTTTTCTTTTTTTTTTTTTTCCCGCACACACATCACACCACATACTCCGGCATGCACTGGCTGTTGGTAACCACCCAGGAGAATGAAAGAAAAGTCAGGAAGAGTCTGAGAAAGAGAAGAAAGACGTGTGTGACCATAATCGTCGGGAATCGAACCCGCAATCTATCGATTGGAAATCGCTGCACATACCACTGCACCATATGGGACACACACACACACACACACACACACACACACACACACACACACACAAATACACACACACACACACACACACACATACACACACACACACACACACACACACACACACACACACACACACACACACACACACACACACACACACACACACACACACACACACACACACACACACACACACACACACACACACACACACACACACACACACACACACACACACACACACACACACACACACACACACACACACACACACACACACACACACACACACACACACACACACACACACACACACACACACACACACACACACACACACACACACACACACACACACACACACACACACACACACACACACACACACACACACACACACACACACACACACACACACACACACACACACACACACACACACACACACACACACACACACACACACACACACACACACACACACACACACACACACACACACACACACACACACACACACACACACACACACACACACACACACACACACACACACACACACACACACACACACACACACACACACACACACACACACACACACACACACACACACACACACACACACACACACACACACACACACACACACACACACACACACACACACACACACACACACACACACACACACACACACACACACACACACACACACACACACACACACACACACACACACACACACACACACACACACACACACACACACACACACACACACACACACACACACACACACACACACACACACACACACACACACACACACACACACACACACACACACACACACACACACACACACACACACACACACACACACACACACACACACACACACACACACAC